TTTAGTCATTTAGCAGACGCTTTTATCCAAAGCGACTTACAAATGAGGACAAGGAAGCAATTTACACAACTATAAGAGCAACAATGAATAAGTGCTATAGGCAAGTTTCAGGTCTGTAAAGTCTAAGAAGGAAAGTATTAGTAGTATTAGTATTTTTTTTTTTTTTTTTTTTTTGGGTACAGTTAGTGTGATATTCAGAGAGGCAATTGCAGATTAGGAAGTGAAGTGGAGACTAAAGGCCAATTCTGACTGAGGACAGTTGAATGTGCTGGCAAGTTTGTGGTTTTATAATAAACAATAGGCTACAAGGTTTAATTTAAAACTTTAACAGATTCCTATTTTTTCATATTTCTTTATTCTAAATCTTTAGGAAATGTTTTAGGTACAAAAAATATGTGCTTATGGCGACCATCTGACAAGCTAATCTAGCTAAAAAATGTGCATAACAAATTTAACTTTGAAATTTTTCAACCTCATAATCAAATATAAATTGAGGCAAACTGCAAAAAGCTCCGCATTTGAAGAAAAAAAGAACCACCCTTTCACCAGGCTGGCTACGGGCCTGATTTACACCAATGTTCAGTGTCACATGATCCTTCAGAAATACAGTATATTAAACTCAAATTTCCTTTGAGTCTTTGCTTTAATAACATTACAAATCTTCTTACTTGATCAATATATTTATCCATATTTTTTTATCAGTCGCTTTGGTACATTTCTCAGATCAGAATTGAAAATCTCAAAATACCTGTTCAATCCTTACATCAATGTGTCACATGTGCACATAAGGAAAGCAGTTTCTCCTTTCTTTGAACAAGTTGCAAATGCTTATGTTGCGTACATCCATGCAAATTACTATGTGCAATTCTCTGCTGTTTCCTACATTATCAGTTGCTTATGTCATGTTGATTTTGGTCTTTGTTGAGTACTCTTACCTCCACAACATTTCACCGTTTGTTCATGGCATGAGTCTTGCAAAATGACTGAACAAGTTGTCATAATATTTTGTCACAATGCATTTTTCCATACATTTCTATTAGACTTTATTTCTAAATCTGTCTAGAATCGGTAAATTTCTCCTGGGTGAATCTTAACTTTTTCTATTAAGGTGCATCTGAAAGGAGATTGTCCTATGTTCACAATTGTTTAGTTTTTTTATTTGTGTTATGCAGTGCTGTTTTTTCCTTTTTGTATCCCAATGACATGATCTGTCAACAAATTACAATAGAAACGGCAAAAAACATTAACCTTTTTTTACATAAGAACAGTTCTCCAGAGCGAACTGTTATATTGACAACATGACCAAGTAATTTGACTGTCTTATTCACACACTGACACAGGGGCTTATAATTATGATGGCACTGACACGTTCATTGACACAGAAATGTAGTTTTGAGAGGTGAACAAGGATTTTGAGCAAGACACTGACTTTTGCAGGTAATCCATAGTGTTTTGCAATTTGTACACATTGTAAAAACTGTAAAAGATCGTTGAGTGCCATTTTAATTTACTTTATAGACTATAGAGGGCGCAAGATGAACACAAATGAACACCAGCTCTTGTAAGGGATATAGTTTAATTGGTTTCTAATCTTTAAACCTGTGAAGTGAGCTACGATTAGCAAATAAAGGCCTTTGTTATGATTCCTTTATGGCTCAATTATTTATTAGACGACATGTGTCTTTTGTCTGCATAACACAACTGTAATCTGATCTAATCTGATCTCTTTCAGTGGATCCAAACGTTTCAAGTCATGTTTGTTTGGTCTGCAAACATGAGCCGAATTCCAGCAATTTATGCTGTAGGCTAACACATGTATTGAATTTACACACGCTTGTTTACGTTAGATAGCCTAATATGCTGGCTCTGCAAATGCAATCATTGACAGTGTCAGTCTAACTCACTTCAGTGGAAATAGAAAAAAAAATCAATAAACAAAACACATAATAGTACAGTAACTGAACTTTTTTTTAGTAACATTCCCATGCAGCTTTTTGGGATGTTACTGTAACATTTTTACAAACATCATGGGAAAGTCTCTTCTGGATGCTCTCTAAATTAAATGTGCAAGTGGTAGCATTTAAATATTTTGTTAGACAAATATTTAAACATTTCATTAATTCATTTTCTTTTCAACTTAGTCTCTTTATTAATCAGGGGTCGCCACAGTAGAATGAACCGCCGACTTATCCAACATATGTTTTACGCAGAGGATGCCCTTCCAGCCGCAACCCATCACTGGGAAACACCCATACACTTTCATTCACACACATAGACTGTGGACAATTTAGCCTACCCAATTCACCTGAAACTGGAGCACCCGGAGGAAACAAATGCCAACATGGGGAGAAAGTGCAAACTCCACACAGAAATGCCAACTGACCCAGCCGAGGCTCGAACCACCAACCTTCTTGCTGTGAGGCGACAGTGCTACTCACTGTGCCACCACGTCACCCCTTAAACATTCCAGAAAAGTTTAATCAATGTATATCAATGTAATGTTTTTGGCTAATCTGTTTGAAAACTTTTTGGTAAGACTTTATTTTGATGGTCCCCATTGCACATTTTGTTGACTAAATGTTTGATTGCAACTACATGACAATTACTTCTTAAACTGTCTGCTTAATATCTGCTGATACTGCTCCTTCAACAGACATTTAACTGACTATAAGAAACTTTGCAAGTACATGTCAACTTACACTAACCCTAACCCCAACCTAACAGTCTACTTATAATCTATCTATCTATCTATCTATCTATCTATCTATCTATCTGTCTGTCTGTCTGTCTGTCTGTCTGTCTGTCTGTCTGTCTGTCTGTCTGTCTATCTATCTATCTATCCATCTATCTATCTATCTATCTATCTATCTATCTATCTATCTATCTATCTATCTATCTATCTATCTATCTATCTATCTATCTATCTATCTATCAGCACAAACAAACCTATTAATATATATGCATGCTTTTCCATTCTGCTATACCATCTTAAACACTCATTGTGCAGAAAGGACCAGGAAACCCTTAAATAAAAGAGTACAAAAATCCCCTATGGCAACAGTTCAACGCGCAGCAACATGTTTGAGCTTAGATCCACACAGCCCAACCTTAAAAACATCTCTCAGCACTCACAAATGACTGTATAAGAGAGAGAAAGCTGGTATATTATGTGAAACTAAAGAAGAGAGCTAGAGCAGTAAAAAAAAATATTACTGCTAGACAACTGAGCTTTTTTCTGGGCAGTATTTTTGGGTTTACATTCGTAAGGATTTAAATAAGTAGACTAATAATTTAAACTATTCAGATCAAATATGTTTATTTGGTCATTTGTTTAATCTTTTGTAGACCTCATAATAATTAATGCATTAAATAATGTAAGAAAAATATGAAAATTATTATTTATTAATTATAATTAAATATTTTTTTTAAATTCAAAGACTTCTTTGGTGGTATTTTTACAATTTTATTTAGATTTTCTTCCATTTTAATTTTAGTTGAAGGGCATCTATGATGAAATGTATCTTTTGGGAGCTGTTTGGAAAAACACTGTGTATAGTGTGTCCACAGTCATATTGGGGTGATATTAAGACAATAAGTCTCTTTCTTTTTAATTTCTTTACGTTAAAATAGGATCCAAATCCCTCCCATTTTGAGGTCCAACGCAACATGATGTAGGAGTGCAGTTTCCCTGCCCCGAATTGATTGACAGACGCGTATTAACATGTCTCCGTTGTAACTTGTATAATCATATCAACAAGACAGGATGGGGATAACCAGGAATAAAAGATCTGTTAAAAGATCTGATGTTAACAAGAGTTTTACAAGTTTAACACGTTTTTAAAAAAGTGCATGTTTGTAATCATTTACAGCTATTTTACCGTCCTTACTTTTTAAACACAGCCGAATGTCAGTACAATTATAAAAGACGATGCTTCAATCGCGGTTTCAGGACGTTAAATCTTATTAATTTTGTACTTTGACATAACGAATATCCATACAGCAGTGTATATTAATGTGTATCCTGTCACATTTGCCGTGCAAAAACAGTGCAAATTTAAATGTGTGTATCTGTGTGTGTCCGTAAGCTTTGTAACGAAAATTTGTCACTTATCATGGCAGAAAGGCTTGAATTAACTTCACAACAAATACATCAAATAATCATTGCAAAAGTTCTTACTTTAGTATTTCTCACAAACGTTACGTGAGATCTGCTTCCTTCATATCTGTCACTGTGCTGTTTATCTGACGCAGCCGAGGCGGAGATTGAGGCACACTCTGACAGGCACGTGGGAACAGTGGGCCCCTAGTTTTAAACTACTATTAAAGGCACAGGCCACAAAAACAGCTACATTGTCATCAAAGCAGAAAATCCAATATTCTGAAAGGTATAATAAATAATCTGATGGGTGTTTTGAGCTGAAACTTTACAGACACATTCTAGAGACACAAAACACTTATCTTAAATCCTCAATCTTGGAAAAGGGGTGTAATAGGTGCCCTTTAATGTTTTTAAAATGTATTAGTCTTTCTTTTTGTTTTCAAATTATGTCTGTTATTTTTATATTACTTTTATTTCCATTTTTTTTTGTGGTATATTTCCTCATGCTGCATGATTTCCATTTTAAATGCTAATCTTAATCTGTGGCAAAAAAAAAGCAAAAATATTTTCCCTAAAAAAAATTTAGCCACCTAAATCACAAGTAACCCTTAAGAGGCCATTTAATCTGATTACCATAGTATGCAACTATAACAGCCACAGTAGTAGTAGAACTCACACCGTAGGGCTCTTTGGGACCCCAAACAGTCAGAAAGCAAATTCTCTACGCTTTTAAGGAAGCTCAAATTTCTCAACTCTGTGTCTGGATCAGCATATGTGTGTGTGTGACTGTGTGTGTGGGAGTGTGTTGAAGGTGGGGTCAAGACAATGACGTTGTTTCACCAACCAACAGCTCATTCAGCAGAGGAACTCATGGCTCATAGTGCATTCTCCACCGCCTCTCTGCATGGAGAGCATGGGGCAGACAAAGAGGCAAGTCTGCGGGACTCTAGAGGCTTTCAAAAGCACACCACATGCAGCTTGAAAATGAACCACCTTTGAGAGTTTCAAAAATTTGCATCAGGAAGAAAATGATCTGAATAAAGTTTTGCATGCTCTCAAACATGCCAACATCTTAAAGAGAAACATCCAAGTAGGTGTTTTGATAAAATCCAACTGCAGGAATGGGCACTGAAAATGGGACCTGTATTGACAGTGTGAATGTGGAGCAGAATGGGGGTCCAGCCATCAGTGCTTTGATGTTCGCAGCTGGAGCGATCGGGAACGTGCTTGCGCTGGTTCTCCTGGAGTTTCGGAGGAGGAAAGAAAAGAACCGGCAGCGGCAGTCTCTTTTCCATTTGTTGGTGACCACTTTGGTTATTACGGATCTAACGGGAACCTGTCTGACCAGTCCTGTGGTTCAAACGGCGTATTTGACCAACACCACATTGGTTGGGATGAGCAAGACTCATGCGGTGTGTGAGTATTTTGGATTTGCCATGACTTTCTTAAGTTTGGCCACACTTTCTATCCTCCTGGCGATGGCACTGGAAAGATGCATCTCCATCGGGTATCCGTATCACTACGGGAGGCACATCACCAAACGCTGCGGATACATCACCATCCCTTGTATTTATCTAGCCTGCTTTCTGTTCTGCCTGATGCCGTTTGCAGGGTTTGGGAAATATGTGCAATACTGTCCCGGGACCTGGTGTTTCATTGCCATGAATTCGGAGGAGATCGAAGACCGAGCGTATGCCAATGTTTACGCCACGGTGATGCTGTTTATTATGATCATTATAGTGGTGTGCAACTGTTTTGTGGTTTATCATCTGGTGCTGATGTACCGGAGGCGCAAGATGAACCGGGGTTCAGTGCAGACCAGGAGCAAAAGGAACAGGAGGTACTTCTCGTGGGCAGAGGAGGTGGAACATCTCATTCTTCTGGTCTTCATGACTGTCATCTTCGTCATTTGTTTCCTGCCGTTAATAGTAAGATTTATTGTATGTGATTGTAATGAAAGAAAATAACTACAGTTGAAGTCTGAATTATTAGCCCTCCTGAATTATTTGTCCCCTGTATATTTTTCCCCCAATTTCTGTTTAACAGAGAGCAGATTTTTTCAACACATTTCTAAACGTAATAGTTTTAATAATTAATTTCAAATAACCGATTTCTTTTATCTTTGCCATGATGACAGTAAATAATATTTTACAAATTATTTTTCAAGACACTAGTATTCAGCTTAAAGGGCAATTTAAAGGCTTAACTAGGTTAATTAGGAAAGATATTAAGTAATTAAGCAAGATATTGTATAATAAGGGTTTGTTCTGAAGAGATAATTAGAAAAAAATATATAGCTTAAGAGGGTTAATAATATTGACCATAAAATGGTTTTTAAAAAGCTTAAAACTGCTTTTATTCTAGCCAAAATGAAGCAAATAAGACTTTTTCCAGAAGAATTAATATAGGAAATACTGTGACAATTTGCTTGCTCTGGTAAATCACAGGAGGGCTAATCTTTTTGACTTCAACTATAATTTGTCATTTTCTAAATGTTACCAATTAATTTATTTACACATTTGCAGATTAATTCATATGCAAAATTTCCCTTAGGCATTAATAAAGTATTTTGTAAAGGCAGAAAATATCATATTTGACCAGGGTTATTTCTTTAATATTGAGCAGCTATTGTGGGCTTTATTAGCAGTTTAAATAGTTTTATCTTAATCATTTAAATTTGTTGTTAAAGTAATAAACTACACTATAATTATTTATTGTGAAGTTTTTATTATCCAAATATACTTTCAACTCATTTTCATACTGTAAAAAATATCTGTTAATTAGCAGTTTCTGTGTTTTGTGGCTCACATAGTGTTTTCTGTTTATGCATTATGGGAGTTTTATCTCTGCTCCGTCACTTTTGATGTTGAAAAAAAGTCAACACTGCAGATTAAGAAAGTGACTTTTAGAGACATTTTAGTAGTTTGAGGCAATACTTGTTTAAGAAATAGTATAGAAAGGAATAGGTCTGTAAAATTACAGAAACAATACAGGTAGTTTGTTACCAGGTTTTTGTACTGTATTATACAACACAAGCCCAGACAATATATCACTTTACACTGTTAAAAATGCCAACAAGAGTCACTTTTCAAACTTTTCAACATTGAAAGCTTTTGGGGGAAAGATTAAAATCTCATAATGCAATTCAAAAGCATAAATAATTGAAAAACATGAATCAACAAATGTGGAAAATTGTTTATCTCAGACAAACAATGAAATTACATAACCTACTGCGAAACAAAAACTAAACATAAACAATATATATATAAATGAAAGTAAATGTTCATATTGCAAGGTTTCTATAAGTTTCAAGTTAAAGTTAAGAATTTTAAAGACCATTTTTAAGACCATAATGAATGAAATTTCGGACTTACACAAGGCTAAACGCTTAAGATTTTTAAAAATGGTTTAAAGTTAAAACCTTTAAAAAAACATTAAAAACAAATGTTATTGTAAGGAAGATAATTAAACAATATTAATAAGTAAATAGAGTTAATAAATAGACGTTTCTTAAAACTTTTCTTGAAATATATTGTTAGTGATTGGATGGATGTCCCGAATGGGTATAGCTTCACATGGACATAGTAAAAAAATTAAGACCCACTGAAAATGATTTAAGACCTACACAACGCAACATTTCAGTGGATTTAAAGAAGCTGGTATTCATGACGCAAAACTCCACTGAAACAATGTTATCTGTGCACCAAAGCATTCTGCAAATGACAATACGACAAACTGAGATCTTGTGTTTTAGTGCAGCCATCCCAAGATCTTGGTTTCACTTGACAAAAAGCTGATAATCATCTCATCTCAGAACTTGTTCACCAACAACAACAGATCCCTGTGAGACTCAGATAGCTGGAGATTGTTTTTCTCAAAGTGTGTTATTAATTCTTGAGGTTGTCACGCATAAACACTCTTGCTGACGGTCTGTTTTTTTATGCAGTGTATCTGAAAGCAGACATGAACACCCCTCACTTACCCTTCAGTGATTTGGAACAATACCGACCTAGTTAATTATTTAAAAATAATCAACCGTAGGCAAAAGGACATTAACATATTACAGTTTAGTATACTTGTGGCTCCTTCTGACTCAGAGTTCATTGCAAACATATCACTGATTCACTGCTTTGAATTGAATTTATTAGTGACAATTAGATTTCAGCATAATTTTTAAGTAACATAATTTGACTTCCCAGCAGACCTCTGACTATGGTAGCGGGTAAATGTAATGATGGAGGGCTCCAGTCTGGTGATGCATTATAACCAGGATCGCCAGATTTTGATTTCTTCAGATTTACGGGCAGTGACATTTTTTAGTTTGTTTGTAACTAAACTTGAATTTTTACTATTTTTGAATGTTTATTAGCATTAATACACTGCGAAATTAGGCTATTATGAAACAACCTACCTGTTAAAACTTCTTAATATAGGTTACACATTTACATACATGAACGTATAGCACTCTAGGACTGCAAAAGATCTGTATTGATTATTTCTCTTCATATTCATATGATTCGGCTACTAACATGGATTATAAAACAAAAAGTCATACTTCATTTGTTTACACAAACAAAAATGTGCGTCTATGACCTCTAGTTATTTTTTTTATGTAAATTTGGTTAGTTGTGGTCTTTTTTTAAGTTCGATAAGGATCTGTCTTACATCATTTTGGCAGTTTGTTCATAATGAAACATTCTTTCATCTAAAATTCATTGAAAAATATAATTTAATTAATTATTTTGTGGTTCACATGGTGTTTTCCGTTTATTTACGGTTGTGAATTGAATTGTAGGAGATTTGTCTCTGCTTTGTCAATTTTTGATGTTGACAATTCAACAGTGATTCATATTTATATGTTCAACAAGTGACTTGGCATTTTAGTAGTTTGAGACAAGATATAGTTTAAGAAATAATAAAGGAATAAATCTGTACACTGTAGGACTGCACAATACTACGAAAAGACCTGTATTGTTGATTAATTCTCTTCATATTGCAATGATTAGACTACTAGATTAGTAACGTTAGACATAAAATGAATTGCCATATGTCATAATTTGGTTACACAAACAAACATGTGCGGCCATGACTACTGGTAGCTAAAGTTTTTTTTATGTAAATATAGTTATTTGTAGCCTTTTTTACATTCAATAGGGATCTGGCAGTTTGTTGATGATGAAATATACTTTCAACAAATGTTTAGTTAATGTTACACTGTACAGATATCTGTAAAATGAAGTGTTTTGTGGTTCACATGGTGTTTTCTGTTTAATTACAGTTGTGAACTGTATTATCGAAGTTTTGTCTCTGCTCTGTCTATGTTTTTGATGTTGAAAACTCAACGCTGCAGATTAACACTTTTATTGCCATTTTAGTAGTTTCAGTCAAGATATTGATTAAGTAATAATAAAGAAATAAGCCTGTACACTGTAAGACTGTAAAATACTATGAAAGAATCTGTATTGTTGATTAATTCACTTTATTGTGCAATGGTTAGGCTACTAACATAGATTAGAAGATATCAAATTAATCGTCATACTCATAACTTGATTACACAAACATGTGAGTCTATATTAGTTATAGTTTTTTTTTAAATGTAAATCTAGTTAGTTGTAGCCTATACGTTTGATAAGGACCTGTTACTTAAATCATATGGGCAGTATGTTAATGATAAAATATACTTTCAACTAATTTTACAATGTACAAATAGCTGTTATTTAAGTATTTTGTGGTTCGCATGGTGTTTTCTGCTTAAACACGGTTGTGAACTGGTTGTGAGTTTTGTCTCTGTCTGCCCTGTCGATATTTTAAGTTGAAAGTTCAACACTGCAGATTAACAAAGTGACATTTAATGGCATTTTAGTAAGTTAGTTTGAGAAGATATTGATTAAGAAATGATGTAAGTCTGTACACTGTAGGCATGCAAAGTTCTACGAAAAGACCTGTATTGTTGATTAATTCTCTTCATATTGCAATAATTAGGCTATTAACATAGATTAGAAGATATAAAACGAATTGTCATACATCATAATTTGGTTAACTTACACAAACAAACGTGCGCCTATGACTTCTAGTACTTTTGGTTATATCCGTTTTTACGTTAGATGAAGATCTGTTACTTACATCAAATCGGGAGTTTGTTGATGAAGAGAGAATTCGCGAGTGAAAAATAAAAAAAATTCCAGTCAAAGCGCCCTCATTCCAAAACAACGCTAACGTTTTAAGCGGTGTCTATTCTAACGCCTCTGATTGGCCAAAGTATTCATGAACTCAACAGAAACGTGTGTGATTGGTCACAATTATCAGCGCTGCAATATATACGAATTTTTCGTTCGTTTTAAGACGTGGAGGGGAGATTCGCCATTAAATTTTTACTTTGTGAGCATTTACGACAAATTAACACAGAAACAAAATCTTTGTTTCAGAATCTTTATTCAAACCATTCAAACGTGACAGTATAAAAAGTATAAAATGGAATGAATCCTTGTTTCCATTACCAGAAAAAACTTCATGTTAAAGTTGACAAAAGATTCTCTGGACAAGCTTTTCTTAACTGAGACTTAAACCTTGATCATAACATAAAACAAAACTATTAAACTATATACAGTAGCAAGCCCCTGTGTATTAGCAGTGTTAAAAATAATAAAGGACAATAATAAAACCAAGGCTTATAAAATATAAACAGAAACATCAAACTTCAATAAAATATATCATTTCTGCTCTACACTGTGATGGTTTATAGGTGAAAGTGTGAAATGATGAAATAGTAGCCTAATGCTCTAAACTGAAAGTGTGAAATGATTTAAAGTTTTTAAAGCGTGAGTGATGGGAACTCTAGAGTGAAAACAACTAGAGAGTGGATTATATACTCATGACTCCTTCCACGGGTGATGGAAAGTGCAAATCTGGGTTTTGGAAGTCATGCCATGGTTAAGCACACTCAAAATTTTAGTTTGTCAACTAAATAGCACGCAGACAAAAACTGCAATCAGTGTGGGATATGACTGTCTCTTGCCTTCTAAAGCCTTATGTAGGCTAATGTTAGAGTAATAACTCATTGATGAGAAGTAATTTGATTTATGCACATTATCTTGTGCGTGAGATGAAACATATCCCTGTTGCTATCATTAATAGTGATAAGTAAGCTGGTAGAATCACATTGACAAATATAATGGTTTTGCACTTAGCCTAATAGATTAGATTTGATTTGTGGGATGTGGAAAAGCAACATAAATTTTTAAAATCCTCAGTGCAAAACTATACTTAGGACCAGACATCAAACTGAGGCTCCACATAATCTCACCACAATGGTTTTATTACTGCTAATGCTTACAGCTGACAGACAACACGTTTATCTATCTATCTATCTATCTATCTATCTATCTATCTATCTATCTATCTATCTATCTATCTATCTATCTATCTATCTATCTATCTATCTATCTATCTATCTATCTATCTATCTATCTACCATCTTTCTGTCTGTCTGTCCGTTCGTCCGTCCGTCCGTCCGTTCGTCCATCCATCCATCTAATCACTCTAAAAGAACATCTTAATGGAATAGTCTGCTGTTTCAGTGATCAGTTTGTTTTTTTTTATCTAAAAGCAGATTCAGAAACCCCTGAGGACATTTTTACCCTAGTGAAGTGAAATCTGATCTAAAGTTATTCATACTCGTCTTGACCTATAAATATTTCTGCTTGACATGTAATGCATTATTTTTGAAAATGCATTAGTGCAGTATGTGCATACCTTCATACTTCCCTGGTTTGTTTTGGTAAATCTCACACTGTGCTCAGAATATTAAAAAAGTCATTGCTGAATGACAGGATTGTCTGTCAAATGGCATCTGTGTTTAATGTTGAATGACGCTTCTAAACGACCTTCTTCTTTTTCTTCTCTTCAGATCCGTGTGTACATCAACTCCATGGGAAATCCTGGAAAAAACAGAAAGACTGATCTCATAGCTCTGCGGTTTCTCTCCGTCAACCCCATATTTGACCCCTTGGTGTTCATCATCCTCAGCCCCTCGGTCCTGCGATTCCTTTGGGGGGCGCTGTGTAAAACCACCTTTATGTCCTCCAGAAACTCACTCTTCAAAACATCCATTTCCAAGAACCCAGCAGGTCAAATCGAGCTTTACCAACCCAGCTCCAACTCAGTGGAGACCACACAACTCAGCA